TTGGAATCAAATAGTTTTTTTGAAAGGTTCTTAAAGGACTGAAGCAAGCAGTTGTAGTCTTTCATGCTTAGGTTATGTGAACATAGTATTCATATGTCTTGAACATTGAAAAAAACAACCTTTAGCCCGATCGCCCATATGCATGCCAACTCCAGTCTGCTCGCTTTCCAGTATGTTTATCAGTCCTCTTTTGTTTCTTCTCCTCCTTGTAGCAACAGAATTTAAGCAATCCTCGTAGAAGCAAAAGCAATACTGTTCATAAAAAATTACTGGTCATGGATTTCCACTTCTAGTTCTCCTAATCGAAAGCGACAGACATTGGCTGCGATTGCGAATATTGTTTTCCATAAAAAACAGAGATTGTCATTTGCAGACCTCGCAAATTGTTAGCTCTATGTGTCAAATAGCTGTACCCATGAGATGAGATTGAATGTAGTATAACTACTGCGCATACGGCTTAACTGCCAACATCGTGCTAATCATCCTTTGAGAAAATTGTAGCCAAATTGATGAAGGAGTAAATGAATGATCAGAGTTCCAGTACGACATCAATGATTTAAAGATTTTCAGTAACTTATGACTTCATGTTTTCTTCACTGTAAAGACATGATTTGTGACAAAAAGGACCATACGCCAAACAGATACAAATATGTAATTAATAAAATTTTTATTGCAATACGTGAAGTCAAAGAGTGGAGTTCTATGGATGCCAACGCGTACTAATTCCTTCCTTTCTTCATATTATTTCAACCCCTAATGTTATAGCCAACTTCCATTGTAGAGAAACTGCCCACATTGGCTTAGAGAGTATGTATTCTTCGATACTTCACTTAACTTTATATAATCTCCAATAATTAGTCCTTTTTCTGTTTCTTTGTTGTATTTATCAAGTAATATTTTGCTAAAAGGGATAAATTCAAAATGTGAATTTCTTGCAAGTTTGGTCACTGCCGCAAAGCACAAGCCCAACCTTACGACTACTTTCTTTGTGTATATGACTCTCTAAAAGTGAGTACATATTCTCATGCCATTTCTATTACTATTTTACTTTTCATTACTTAAACAATTGTAGCTTTTCTAATTTTTCTTTTTTTTTCAAATTTTAAAGTGCTCTTAGTTAGTTTCTAGTCGTATTTTTTTTGTTTTTAGTTCCTTCTTTTCTAGTTGTATTTTTTTGTTTTTAGTTTTTTCTATTTCAAATTGAGCTGCTGAAGGACCTGCATGATAACAGAAACAGTTTCCAATCTAAATTGCTTAGTAAAAGCAATTTCAAACAAGAGTTGGTTCTGCGAATCTAATTTCACAATTTCCTTTTCTCCTTCTTTCTACTCATAGTAGTATAGGCTTGACGAGTAGAATATCTTTTGCAAACGAGTGCATTCGTGAGATACACGCGCTAGAGAGGATGAATATGCATGCTGTATTACTTTCCGAAATGCATATATTAGATATCAAAAAATGCACTTTCATCAAACGACTTCTTAATCTTGAAAAAATGCGATGTGTATGCGCTTTACGCTCAAATGCTCAAATACTGCAAATTTTGCATACTTCAGACTTTATCTTTAGTAGCTGAATTCCCAAAGTAATATATCTTCACCTCGCATTCTTCCTGCAAAAAAGCTGCTTGAGGGGATGTGTATGTGACACGCAGACTACATCGATATTTATTACTAACGTGTACTAATGAAATAGAACTCCCTCTTCGGTGCAGTCTAGTCTCCTTTTAATGAAGCTAGTCCATGTTTGCCAAAGAAGGTCTCAACAGGAAAATTTAGCTTTTGGAATGAAAGCCCTAATAGCTCAGAAGACCCAGATTCATTCTCAGCTAATAGAAGGGTAGCTGCTGTCCCATATCTGGTTACTAAGTCTCGCCGCATCTAGTCT